CCACCTTAGCAACCAATATTTTCCAGAGCGACCATTGACTTTCCCTAGCAACCGATGACTTCCCTAGCAACCAATGACTTTCCCTAGCAACCAATGACTTTCCTAGCAACTAGTTACATTTCATAGCGACCACCGACTACCGTTGCAACCACCAACTCCCTACAGCAACCAGTGTCTCGCATAACATGCAGTGACTTCCCATGGTTACCATAGACTTCTAAAGCACCCTAACGATCGCTGACTTTTCACAACAGCCATAACCTCTCCCTAGCGTCCGCTGGCTTTCCATAGCAACCAGTTAACCATCTTAGCAACCAATGACTTTCATAGCGACCATTGACTTTCCCTAGCAACCAATGACTTCCATAGCAACCAGTTACTCTTCATAGCGGTCACGGACTACTGTTGCAACCACCGACTCTCCGTTCATATAGGAGGGTAGTTTCCTAACCATCGTTCCTGTTGAGTAACACCAGTACTAGACTACCTTCCTCTGTTCTAAACTACTAAAGCATCTCCCGAGGATCGAACCTCGCCAGAGAGATAACTGGATTAGAAGTCAATAACCAGACGAGGTCAGTGCTAATGTAAAGCTTGCACATATTTATAACAGTTTTATACCAGATAGAATCACAACCAAATCGAATAGACCATTTAATATTACACTGGTTTATAGAAAATTCCGATAAATAATTCGAAGTACAATGTAACGCAGTCTCAGGAGGTGACAGATTTCTGAAGGAAGCTGCAGTAACACACGACACTTGTACAATGTTACCTAGGAAAAGTCCGAACAACAAAATATTACACCATTTCATCTTTTACTCCAGCTTTCAAAATCTATGATATTAATGGTAAAAATATATTTTATCACGATGGCAGTCAGTTCTAAAAAACATATAACAAGCGAAAACAAGAAAAGCAATGTTAAAGTCATCATTCTATAAATAGGTAAGCAATATTTAATAACCCACTGTATACTAATAAAAAACCGAAGATTAATTGATGAATAAGATAATTTCATTTGAATATGTTTGCATTGCGAAATTCTCCAGTTATTATATATAGTCCGCTATTCATTGTACATATCGCGACATTTCATTTTTGATAATCCAATCGGAATGATCAGCTATTATGACCGACGAAAAGGCCCGAGAGGTTGCAATTGTCCTTTCTCATTCCATAAGGGGCGTTGAGCTTCGGCGCCGACGCCTATATGGCTATAATAATCGAACGATCAAATGATTTTGCAGTATAAAATTAGATCAAATCATTTAAAACGAATATTACTCGCAACACTTAAAATGTTGTCAATGATATTATAACATGTAATACTAATCAATAAATGCCATATAGTTCCATTAAAACTTTTAAAAAATTATAAAAACGTTTTTAAAAAATTGTTTTTTTTTTTTTTTTTTTTGTGTTTTTTTTTTTTATTATGAAGCAAATTTAACTATTGATTCTCAGTAAAAAAGTAAATAACAGATCAAAGTGGTTATTGGCCCTATCTGTCAAACTTCGAATAAAGGCAAGGTGTCCCGCATGAGTAGATAAATCATCTGCCAGTAATCTCCCCTTTCAATCCTTGATAATTGTGTGTTGCTACGGCTAAAAGTTTGGGCGATTTTAGCTATAATTATATATGATTTTTTTTCTTAACTATTGTTCCGTTTCTTTTTTTTTCTGTATGTGCATATATCTCATAAATTGTAATAGTCTTTAAGATTGAAGTGAAATTATTGAAGTTACATTTTAAATGAAACACAACTGTACACTCTTCTGCGTCAGTTGAGCCTGGTAAGACACTAAGCTAAAATGTCTTCCCTGGTTGAGTTAACCATGCACATGTGGACAAAATCAGTAACTTTAAAAGACCCTATTAAAACCTATTATACTTGGAGGTCTGTGGCCAAGTAGTTAAGGTCGTCAACTCCAAACAAATTGTCGCGTCCGATTCCCGACAGGGACTTCGCGGATCCTTTCATTTGGGAAAGTTTTTCCACCTAGCTAACGAAAAGGTGGTTCTACGCAGGTGCTCTCTCACGATTTAAACAATGCACGGATGGACACCCGAGGTCTTCCGCCACCAGTTAAGCTTAAATTTGCACATAAGGAAACTAAAAATCAATTTATTGACGCAGTTGTTGTAATAATAGTCATACGTTTTACAATTTACCGAAAGGGGTAGGGAAGTTAAAAGTAAACAAGCAATTATCATAGTATTGCAAGCAATCCATAAGTCCCCTACCGGTTAGAACCCCAGCAACATTCTGATGGGCCATTGGCCGTTCAATTTTACCAGTGAATGAATGACATGAATGAACTTAAATCTTTTGAGTTCTAAGTGTGTCTATATCACAGTAATGTGTTAAGTTTCCCTGCCCTAGTAAGGAAATTATGTTTATACAACCGTGTCATATTATTACGATGTGGGATTTTAAAGTATCCTAAAAGAAATGAAGAAGTTGGAGTAAAAAATACCAATTTCTTGTAAAAAATCTAAGTTCAAGGGGGACATAATTCTGGAAATAGTCTTGCTAGAGTATTTAACCTTCTCAAAAATGTTGAGTGATAATAAGAAACATATATATGAAGTTTGAAGTAGATATATTAGGAAATAAAGAAATTATACTTTTTTTTCCATAAAAATTCTATGTTCAAGGGAGGTAATACTGATAATTTTTGTGCTAAAGTTGTAAGCCTTGTCACATATGATGTGGTTGATGACCAGAAACTTATATTTAATGTTTGAAGTAAACACCTTAAGAAATAAGGAACTTATTGTAAAAAAGCTGAAAAATTAAAATCAGAAATCTTGAAATTCAGGCTATTTGTTGCCATAGCAACCAGAATTTTCAACATAGGAACAAAAGAGAAAGACGTGCATAATCTCCATACTGCCATCTATCCATATATCATAAAATTATTTTAAGTACTTTTTGCGTTATCGCGGGATCCAGTTTTGTGGATGGACGGACTGACGGACGGACAGACAGACGGACGGACGGACAGACGGACGGACAGACGGACGGAGGGTAAACCTAAAAAAGCAATCGTATTATCGGCATATTAACAGGGTTACCAATGCCAGGCTTGATTTTAACCGATAGCAGTAGGGAGTCTTATAGTCCTTCGGATGATGTTTCCAAATATTTCAAATTCTTGGCGGTCTCCCCCCTGTACACAGATATGCTGTAATGTATTGAATGGACGGTCATATATCAAATAAGTGTCACCAGCAAACATTCTGGCCTTACATTTGACATAGTCTAGTAGTCATTACTTGTTATAAGCTAGAAAGGTTGAAAAATTCATCATTTATGATGACGTAGATACTTTTTTTTAAAAGTTACAAACCATTTCAATTGTTTTTCTTTTTACAGTAACCTACCTGTTTTTTATACAAAGTTCAGATGCAGGGATTCCGGGAAAACCCCCAAGTCTTAAATCCTGATCACATGGGACTCACTATCGCAACCACGTTCCTACAAGCAAATTAAACACATGTCCAGGACCACTGAGCCAAGATAGTAAGAATGTTGTGCTTATAGAAATAGAAGTAATTTTGTATGAATGCATAACGAATTCAAACCCAAGCAAGAAGAACTAGTACTGCGCTACACGACAAAGACTGACATCTTGTAGTAATATATATTTCGACAGTTTTATTCCACTACCTTTTAGTCCATATTATAAAATCGACCAGCATATGTACAATATCTCAGTTATATTTTCCATTCTCAATATCTTGCACTTGCAATAATTTGTAAACACCGTGGAACCGACGTGAGTGTAGTGATGACAGAAATATGAAATTTAATGATATAAATTGACCAGTTTTCATTTCGATATACGAATAAGTGCTTCTTTTCGTTTGTTAATATTTCAAATTTGACACTTCCTTTTCTAACAATGGAAGCCAAATTTTCATTTTATTTTCTGTAAACAGCAAGTATACAGGTATCCTTTTGTGGTTACTATTAAAAAATACACAGTAAGCTGACTTAAGTAGAGCTCTCAGGTCTATCGGGTCCTGGTATACTTCATACATCTCATTTAAGCCCAAAATGCTAGTTTTCTCAATTTTTAAATATTTTTATCAACTTGTTGCAATTTAAAGCTTTAATTGCATCTTGCTCCCTTTATCTCTTTATTCTTAAATATTTTATATTCAGCGCTATTTTCCTCAGATTATAAGTATCTCTTATGTTCTAAATAAACTATTTCAATATTTTGACTTCCATACAAAAAAACTAGACTTATTGCGTAAAAACAATCGAAGGAAAAATAAGGTTAGGAAATTGGCAATGTGCTTTTTTGGAAACTACAAAAGTACACAAGAAATAAAAAAGCTCCAAAAGGTCAAGCATCTTGTGCTGTCATATAATTACAGTCACATACCTATTGCAAGGTCGTCTGTCTGTGACACATCTTGCACAATGATATGTTCATTGATCACTCCCTTAATAACATCATATACTTATTCCGTCATACATAATGTACATCATGTACTCATTTAGTACAAATCATGTAAGCATTAGGCCGTACAGTAAGAAAAATATTGTATTGTATTGTATTGTATTGTATTGTAATTAACTCATGTTTCACTCACACTGTGTAGCCTTATGCTGATAAATATCAGTCTAAAGTCTAGCACAAATAAATGATTATGCAATATATTTTTGATAATGTATGATCTTGGTCAAAGATAACATTTGTATCAAAATATTTCAAATACAAATATAATGCTTCACTTGGGCTTTTTTATTTATTTTTCCTCTGACAGCGTTTATCAATACATATGTACATGACTTTGTTAATAGATAAATAGGGGAAAAGCTTCAAGATAGAAACATAATGTCAAATCTGCATATCAACTAGTGATTATATGCGTACGTGCACGTTCCTGTGCATAAATATATACATTTGAAAAAATACTACTGTTACAGTAACAGAAATTACAATATAAAACATCTTTTAAATATACACTCAAACGATGAATTAAGTTAACATACAATGAAGGATGCTTAATTAATCATAAAATCATAGTTAAGATGTTTTAAAAGCATAAAGCATAATAAAATTAAACAATAAATTAATCTTAACTTTTATTCAACCTTGAACCAATTGTAGAAACTAATATGTGTGTACATGCAATCGTAACCTAGTTTCGCCTTTTCATATACACTAAGAAAGATAAATGAAACAGATAAAATGCACTGGATCTAATTAACGGATTGTTTCACTACATGCTTTAATTGTAAGTTATTTACCTTTTTAAACAGTAAAAGAACGTGTAAACATAAATTAAATACAGACCATCTCAATTATTTGAAAACATATTAAAGATACACTATGCTCATTTTTGAGTTAAATATTTTTATTGTAGAAATTTATTGTAATATATAAAATTCTTACTGAAAATGTGAATATGTATATTACTGAAATGATAATATTTTGACAACAATCGATATTGTCCAACAATATTGACCTGGCACTTCATTAACTTTCGTAAAGGTCATTTGAATAAACAATAACCAGTATCTATCGATTATATCAATATAATATTTGCTAACTTCACTTGTCAGAGTGGTGTGGTGTATTGGTATCTAAATGTCCGACTACCGATCTGAAGGTTTCTGGTCGATTCTTTACCAACACCACGTTATTTTAGCTTTTAATTTACTTGCAAGAATTAATTTGAAATAGTATTACTACACCTAGTTTTAGAAAACCTTTTAAGTGGTGTTTTTATACACAATTATATTTTTATTATTTTATAACAGTATATTTCAACGGTTCTCTTTGTGGCATTATGCAATCGTTTGTGATTTAGCGCATACACGCTATAAAGGCAATTACTACACTGATGGTACACACAAATAAATTGGTAATTTCAATATGAAAAAAAAAGTTGCTGTGCTGTAATAGAATTCGAACCTACAAGATTACGATAGATAGATAGATACTTTATTAACTTAAACTTTTACAAGTTTTTCGTATAACAAATAATATATAATACAAATTTACAATCACATGACAATGACATGCATAGGAACATTGAAATTAGTGCGTAACATAGTGGGAATAAGTAAACACACACACACACACGCGCACACACACGCGCACGCACACGCACACACACACACACGCACGCACGCACACTAACACACACGCACGCCACGGTAATAATAATATTTATCACACGGAGGAGGATGGGTATGTGAATACAGTTGCAATTCAGTTTGTGAATACAAAAATTATACACAACCTAGATTTATTAAGGCCATATTCGTCATTTGTATTTGTTAAATTGGCCAAAGGTATGTTAAATATGCCGATTTGCCAAATAAAAACTGAAACTGAAACTGAATTAAAGTTCAATATGGGAATAACATTTACTAGTAGATAGTATAAATGATGTGAAAAAACTAAACAATTTGACTCGCTCTAACAGAAAAAGCTTTATACAAAAAATTACCGAGATTCTTTACTATTTGAAAATTCCTAGATTGCATCAATTCTACAAATTTGTAAACACTTGGATGTCTGTAATAATAAGATTTTATAAAAATCCTTCTTAATTCATCGTAAAACGGGCAAATGATTACAAAATGATAATCATCCTCTATATCGTTTCTTTTACAAAGTAAGCATTTTCTTTGATTGCGGTCTATTCTATTTGACGCATATCGGCCTGTTTCAATGATAAACGCAGTCTGGATGTAGCAATTCTAAACTTTTTAGGTAAAATGTCTATATAAGATTAAAATTCAAAAATATTTTTAATATATCCATACGATACTTCACTGGTAGATAACTTACGTTCCCATTTTTGTTTAAAAACATCAGTTACTCTTCCTTTAAACAAAATATGAAATTTTTTCAAGTCAACTAAACCTGCGTCTGCATTCTTCAAGTGAAGTTAAAACAATTTACCAACTGCGCTAAGATGGACTTTTAATTCACACCATTTTAACAATTCGATATTTACATTCATATCGATTTACAGGAAGTTAGTAACGTTAACTGAATATACCGACTACATGGTCAAATGTAAGACATGTTAGAGTGCCAGGTCAATGTTGTTGGACAATACAAGCAATGTGACCCACAAAGCAATCAATAGTATTGCTCAGAAAATATCAAGTGTCTTTAATGATGCTGCTTTTGATACATTTCCATATTCCATCCAAAAATAGCAATTTATTACACTCAAACAATTCTCTAATAAACATACCCTGATTTGGGCCTCACTGCGAAGCACCATTCAGCCGCAAGAAATATTATTTACATAAAAATGACTTGTATAAACAAGAACTTACAAGAGCAAGGTTTTACAGAACAGAACAGAGTTTATTTCATAACTTGTACACACATAGGTACATCGTTATACAAACATTTTTAAATATAATTATAGGTCACATATTTTACAATTACACATAAAGAAAAAACAAATCAATACAATACTGAGCAATAGGATATTTAATACATACAATGTGATACATTACATACACTGACAAAACTCCATTAATTTAATCAATTATATATCCATTTCTTTAAATTACTTCTGTAAATGAATAATGAAGAGTACTAAATTTAAGCGGAGAACAAACTATAACTTCGCTTTTAATCGAATTTGTTTGATAAATTATTTATATAATAATATACTGAAAAAACATCAAGGTATATATAATCAAAACTGCATCATAATACTATTGAAGATTTCTGAAGTAATCATTTCGTTTGATGTTTGCCTTTTTTAAATAATAACATAAGTTTGTAAGTACTTTATGACTTTTCGATTGTAGTAGTTCTATAAATTTGGCCATACTAGGCTTAATGTAAAAATATCGCTTAATATATTGACTACGTAGATTTTCATAAGCACTGCATTTTAAAACAAAATGATATTCGTCTTCGAGTTCGTTAGCATCACAGAATTGACAAGTTCTTTCGTGGCGTTCTACACGGCCTCGACCATACCTTCCGGACTCAATTCTAAGTCTGTGGGAGGAAACTCGAAGGCGTGTAAGAGCGCCTCTAAATGATTTACAATTAATCTTATCTAAATATAATTCATAACAGAACTGATCTTTTACATATGAATATAGATGACTGAGCACACCATTACTAGATACATCTGCACGCCATTCTTGTAAATAACAATCGATAAGTCTTTGTTTAAAAACAGGTAAGAACTGTTTTTACAATACACTATCGGGAAAATTCCATATTTCGGCAAAACCAAGTACCGCAAGCAGTTTTTTAATTTTACATGGCCAGTTATTTGTGCCATTTTCACATTTGTCACGGGCATTTTCGTAAATGCATTTTAATATAATGGTATCCGTATTCAGTAATTTAAACCAATACTTTATTATATGTGTGTACCTAATGATAAATAACGGATACCTCCCTAATTCCCCGTAGACCGTTACTTGTACTTAATTTAACGCCCAAAATCGTTTTACAGTATTTGAGATGTACACGTTCTAACTCTTTGGACTTAGTGAAGCCCCAAACCGGGCATGCATAGTTTAAGATAGATCCCACAAAAGCATCAAACAATTGAAGCGATATCGAAGGGCTAAGTTCATATTGTTTTATATTATTTAGCAGTATATTTGAGGCTTTAAAGGCCTTTCCGACTATGTACTGGTTATTTAATACGAATGAGCCGGTATAATTAAACACCACCCCTAGGTAGTTGAAGTCATTAACTATTTCTAGAGGCACATTATTGAAATGCCAGCGCTCATTACATTTTAGCCAACCCCTACGACGAAACACCACTATCTTGGTCTTAGATGTGTTGACTTGTAGGCCCCAGTACTGGCAGTACTCGTATAATTTGTCTAAACTGGCCTGCAAATCTTCAACAGAATGGCCAATAATTGCCATATCATCGGCGAATAGCAGTATGATAAGGCACATATCATAAATAGATAAACCTGATTTAATGGATCCTTGCAGGAAAAGTTCCAAGTCTTCAAGAAAAAGGGCAAACATGACTGGCGAATTATTTAGGCCTTGCCTCAATCCAATGGAAATATTGAAAAAGTCAGAATAGGAATCAGAATGTTTAACACTAAGACTTAACTATATTATACATAGACCTAAACATTTTTAAAAGTTTTCCATCCAACCCAAGAAGATACAATTTAAACCACAGTGCCTGTCGATAAACGGAGTCAAAAGCCTTTTGTAGATCTACAAATGCACATGGCAAACGTGACCCTTGCGAAATAACATGTTCTATGAGGTTATGTAATGCAAATATAGCATCTACAGTGCTGTGACCCTTTCTGAAACCGAACTGGGCGTCAGATAGAATATTATAACTTCCGAACCATTTCTCAACCCTAGCTGTTAACACACCAGTGAATAATTTTCCAAGGTTACTCAAAAGTGTAATGCCCCTATAGTTGTTAAGGTCATTTTTACTTCCCTTTTTGTGGATCGGTATTATATAACCTTGTGCCCATATATCTGGGAAATAACCTGAATTAAAAACAATATTAAAAAGATCTGTTAGATGGCCTCCAATGATATCAATCGATTCGATTAAGTATTCATTTAAAATATTGTCACTGGGACATGGCGATTTGTTTCGGCCGAGTCGCTTGACTGCAGCCCCTAGTGTGATAGGTAAGTTAAGCTCACCGTATGTAGGATCATGTAAATTTAAATCATCATTATCGATTTTCAACCTCATTTATAACAGTTGTCGGAATATTATTAAACAAATCTGAAAAATAATTTTTAAAATGCTCTACTGTTATATCATTTTGACATGACTGATTATTAGATTTAAAATATTTCCAAAACTCACGCGGTTTACTTTTTCTTAACTGCGAAAGCTTCCTACCTTCTTTCAATTTGTAAGCGCGTTTTTTCTTGCGCACTATATATTTATACGTTTTACGCTGTTTGCAAAGTTCAATTCTATTTATTTCGGACTGGTTACTGTTATAATTGTGCAACGCGCGTTTATAAAGTATCTTATGGTCGACACATTCCTTATCATACTATAAACACTTTCCGTCAGATTTGGCCGGTGATTCATATTTGGTTATCTTTGTCCGATCGGCGATATCGGTGATTAAAAGCTTGCGTACCTCGTGATATAGGTTGCTGTCGGTTATTTGTAAAATATTTTCACCGATCGAGAATTTTAAACATGTTTAAAAATCCCAATCGGTAATTTTTCACCGATGAAACTTATCTTTCCCCAATAGCAGTTGATAGGTGGAAAACAGGTGACCAATAGGTGATATCGGTGTTAAATACGTTGTCATCGGTTCACTCCATAATTTGGCTAAAAAAAACTACCGATCAATCACCGATGGCTCTGTGTAACTATGGTGTTAGGGCACAGTTACACAGACGGTCGATCCCCAATCGGTCATTATATTTTAAATTTACTCGCTGTTATGATCGGTTGTCATGCGTGATTTTATTTCTGGTTTTCTGTGTAAACGGCCATCGGTGATAGAAAGCAAACTCAAACGGGAATGGGTTGATGATTAAATGCTGAAATACTTTTGGTTTTTATCGTTTGTAAATCGGAGCTAAATCGGGCGTAACGCTGATTAATCGGTGTTTGATAGCTAGTCATCAGTGGTTAAACACTTTCCGTCAGATATGGCCGGTGATTCATATTTGGTTATCTTTGTCCGATCGGCGATATCGGTGATTAAGAGCTTGCATATCTCGTGATATAGGTTGCTGTCGGTTATTTTTAAAATATTTTCACCGATCGAGAATTTTAAACGTGTTTAAAAATCCCAATCGGTAATTTTTCACCGATGAAACTTATCTTTCCCCAATAGCAGTTGATAGGTGGAAAACAGGTGACCAATAGGTTATATCGGTGTTAAATACGTTGTCATCGGTTCACTCCATAATTTGGCTAAAAAAAACTACAGATCAATCACGGATGGCTCTGTGTAACTGGGGTGTTAGTCGGCATTGGACCTGTTCAGTTTAAGCGCGTGACAACCGCCACCGTCCCGCCCTCTTCAGGCCTTTTCAGATTCGAAAGCCAGCCATGATTAAATACACCCTATTATTTAAAAAGACTGGTGAGGCAGTGTACGTGATATAAGATAAATAATAGAATTGATTTTTTTGTATTTTATTATTTATTTATACCTTTACTTCATCATCAAGCATACATGATTAGCCTGTATGATAAACAAAACCTTTACTCGAATATATGATAAATTATGTATATTTACAGTTCCTTTAAAGAAAAAAAAAATATTTTCGGAAAAAAACAAAACATTTCTGACTTTATATTAATCGATTAAAAACAATAAATGAAATGATTCAATATAGACATATTAAGGGTTAACAAAATAGAGATTAAAAACAAATTGTTTTTTTTATATTTTCAGAAAAAATGGCTAACGATTATATAATCAACAAATGGAAACTTTGGTTCCGATCTATTGATATAAAGCGTAAGGGAACGATCTCTAGAGCCGACGTCAAACAAGAAGAGTAAATTTACTGATTTATTTATAATATACTTCAATTCTCTCAGTGGCATTCAGCGTTTTAAGTTGTAATTAGGGTATAATTTTGAGCTTATTTTAAATTACTTTTACCTCTGGTAAACCATTTGCTTTTTTAAACCTCCACTTCTTTTTATAAATAATTGAATGATTTATTTGCAGGGACACCTTGGCTACATTGAGTCATTTAGATGATGACAGGCGTAAGCAATTGCAAGTTAACCTTGACAAAATATGGGACGATATAGTGTTCAGAGGTAAAGAACCGATCAACGAGCAAACTTTTGTTGCAATGAACATCCAGGATTACACGACAAACAAACAAAAATTTGTTGAGGAAGTGAGAAAAGCGTATACTGCGTTCTTTAATCTTGTCGATGTCAGTGGAGAAGGTTCTGTTTCCGAGGAGGAGTTCGTAAACATGATGAAGGCATGTAGTCACAACAACAATGCTTTAAATAAAAAATTCTTCGAGGATTACAACCCTGTTGATGGCAAGATTGCATGTAGTGTCCTCGTTGATTCCTGGGTACAATTCACGTCATGTGATGATAGTTCGAAGACAGACCTTATCAAAGAAGCTATTGAAGGTGGTATTTAGGATGTAAATCTTCCATTCAATAAAACATCTACATATCCGTGTTTTTTTTTTAATTTTGGTAAACAAAACTTAACTGTTAAGTGTCCATTTAATTAGAAATATTAAAAATGCTACAAAACAACAATTTTTTACCAAAACCAGATGAGAGGCCACATGTTAACATGAAAAAACTAGATTTTGGGTAATTCCAAGGTTTTTCATCATTTTTTTGCTATTTAAAAAAAATAAGAATGGTACAAAACAACACTTTCTACAAAATTATGTTAAAGCTACATGCTAACATGGGAAACTTGATTTTGGGTAATTCCAAGGGTTTTCATCTCTTTTGCTAACCCCTTACTTCATATAGACGTGTTTTGAGGGCTTTTCGACCCCCCTTTTTGAGGCCTCAAACATTGAAAAAGTACCCTATTTAGGCCCCAAACGCTGTTAACGTGATCACTTTTTCGGCGCCGCCCACTATCAAAAAGGTACATCGGGGGTTGCTAGAAGGGGGATGAGCCCCATTCTGTTTAAGGGGGGAGGGTGAAGGGGAGCGGCAGTACCCCTCATCGCCAAGAAAATTTTGGACTTGTGAGAGGCTAAAAATAACACAAGGTCGATCATAAGGTTGTTTGTAACCAACGCTGAAAGGCCTTTAACTCTATCTCAATCCATTGAGAAGTTGCAGCACATTGAAAAAATTTTGATGGAAAAAATCAACGCAAAATAGTGTTGTTGTTTTTTTGGGGCAATTTTGAGATGTCCCCTCGTTGCCATGGTAACATGAAATATAAGACTGAGCATGTCGTTACAAAGGCAATGGTCCAGTCAACATCTGTGCCAAGTTTGATTAGTATTGAAGCATTTTTCATAGTTTCATAGCAGTTTGAACTTGTAACAGGAGGCTTTTTAATGAAACGGCCATTTTTCTCAATATGCTCAGGAGGGAAAGGTTTAAGGGAAATAATACTAGTTGTTATATACCTATGTTAAAGATAAACAGAGAAATGCTTGGTACAAGTTCTGTCTGCATTCACACATACTAATAATAATGATAATAAAAACAAGAATTTATAACAGAGTTACCAACATCCCCCGCCTCGGCGAATTTTTATACGAAGCATAAAATTTTTCTTTTTCAAAAGATTGAGAAACGGATCTCGGAACTTTCAGTCCAAACTTATGATCATTGCTAGATCTGCAAATGCAACAATAAATTTATTAAAGAAATAAAATGAAACACGGAAACACAGAATTAAAACATTTATCATGATAAGCTTTGACCTCTAACTGTGACCTTGACCTTTGAGGTAGGGGTGCACGTGTTATGCATGACATATCGTCTTATTATTGTAACTATTTGTGCCAAGTATTTTCAAAATCCCTTGAATATGAAAAAGTTAAGATCTGACATACTAAATTATCGGAAAATCATAGTGCATGATCAGATGGTCGTACTAAATTATCGAAAAACCATATTGAATAATCAGATGGTCATAATAAATGATCGAATATCATGGATTAAGTAATATTTCAAATGAACAAAACAAGTTTAACTCTTCCTAGTTACTGTAGCACAAAGGCGCTGAAAATTGTTTCCTTGAATGGCATTCAGCGTTATTCATTCCTGCTGATGAATGGATGTCGATGTTATCATTAAAGATGCAAACGGCTAATGACGTTACTAAACTTTTGATGACACTCAAACTTACATACCCTATAACTTTAACAGAAAAGCAGTTTTGAAGGTATGGTTTGGAATATTAAATGACGAAATGTTGACATTTACCAATCGTATGATAAAATGATTTATTATCACGAGAAAATATAAGTTTTTGTGACTTTAAAAAAATGCCGCATCTCATCGGATAGTGATGTTATTTTCAGTCAAAATTCATGTGAAGTAAAGCTTGCACAGGGCCAGAAATGTGTTAGCATGCTCCTTCGGATGTTGACTATGAATTCTTATTTACTCGAACATAGTTTGGATATGTTAAAAATAGATGAATACTTACCGTGCGTTAATTGTGTTTCCTGCGCCGACATGTATATACCGGTACAGCAGTCGACGCTTGAACTGCTGTCTGCCCATTTGATTATACGGTGTGTATAACTTTGATTATTTCTACGTAATTGTTTACTTTTCAAGATCATTCGTGAAAATGATAACTTGACTACCGTTTTGAGCGAGATTTTAGCTTTTTGTCGACTCATATAAGTACAACAATGCATATTATACCGTATAATTTCGATTATATGTAGGCAAGTGACATTTACTAAACTTCTGGTGATATAAAAAAATGAAATAAGCTGATAAAATGGGATGCAAGTCATTTTTATGAGGTAACGCCGATATACGTGAAGCAGCGGTAACGCCGGAAAAAGTGATTTTTTCATATATGGTACTGAATGGTAAGACAGGTTTAACGCCATTAATTTGTATCAGCACTTTTCAAATATATTTTTGTCGGGGAGGGGACTTAAATTCATTTTATACAGAATGATATTAGTTTGATTTCGCAGAAAAAGACACAGTCTCGAATCAGTCCCTGAAACAACAGAGCTATAAGGTTCGTAATACAAGTCTTTGTTGAAAAATTTCTTATTCAAGGAAACAACGGGGTAGCAATTCCTCAATATCTATTATATTATATATTATATCCAGAGTTATGCATAAGTGATTGAAATGGAAATGTATGAGAGTCGCTTCTTTTAGTCTAGTTTTGGAAAAGGGGAGATAAACTCTATATTTCGCAGTCACATACTAAGAACAGAAATCTACCTGTAATTTTTTTTTATATTGTCACTGCTGATACATTGTATCATAAGAACTAAAAACGAACAACTTTTTGTTTTGTTGCACTTAAACTTTAAAAAGTATTTATCTGAAACATAAGACGGTTTAATTCTTAACTATACAGATGTTATCATAAAGCCTTAATTTACTGAATGAATTAATTATTAATTTACGATTTAATTCATTGAAGTGTTGTTTACTTTTGTTACTTCAAAATGGATTAATTAAAGAAAACAAATACTTATCGTCGTTTCTATGTTTATATATGATCGTTAGTTAATTCTCATTCATAAAATAATTTATTATCGGCCATTCTATAGACAGTGGAAGGGAGGCAACTCCTAAGACTGCAAGGATTTTCAATATAACTTACAGAGTTACCTCTCTTCTCATTCAATTATTGACAAAACTACTGCTAATCTTGTTCTGAAGGAATTTTTCTGGTAAAATTGCTTTAAAGTGAACACCATAGCGGTTCTCTTACTTTGGTTGATGTAACAGCCGATTTTAACACAATTGTTGGTCATACTTCGGCGGTCGAGCCACATAATTAACTTAACAGTAATTACCATTTTTCTAATCCAGTCAGCGTTGAAAGACAATGACCATTAAAAGGAAAT